GGTGAAGCGGCCTGTCTTCAAGGCGCGTTACGTTGCTCGAGGCTTCAGCCAGCGTGAGGGAGTCGACTTCTTCCAGACCTTCTCCCCCACCCCGAAGATGACCACTCTTCGGGTGCTGCTGCACATAGCCGCTCAGCGTGACTACGAGCTTCACTCTCTTGACTTCAGCACTGCTTTCTTGCAGGGTAGTCTGCACGAGGAGATCTGGTTGCGCCGCCCTCCTGGCTTCACTGGGTCGTTTCCTCCTGGTACCCAGTGGAGCCTCCGCCGGCCGGTCTACGGTCTCCGCCAGGCACCACGTGAGTGGCACGACACACTGAGGACGACACTTGCGGCACTTGGGTTCGCGCCTTCTACTGCTGACCCGTCGCTGTTTCTGCGCACAGACACTTCGTTGCCGCCGTTCTACATCCTCGTGTACGTCGACGACTTGGTCTTTGCCACTGCTGACACTCAGGCTCTCGCCCACGTGAAGTCGGAGCTGCAGAAGAGACACACATGCACAGACCTGGGTGAACTGACAAGCTACCTTGGCTTGCGGATCACCCGGGACAGAGCACGGCGCACCATTACCTTGACTCAGTCACACATGGTGCAGCAGGTCCTTCAGCGCTTCGGCTTCACGTACTCCTCGCCTCAGTCCACTCCTCTGCCTACCGGTCACTCGCTCTCAGCTCTGCCTTCGGATGAGTCCGTAGAGCCGAGTGGCCCGTATCCAGAGCTTGTGGGCTGCCTCATGTACCTGATGACCTGCACTCGTCCTGACCTTGCATACCCTCTTAGCATCCTTGCACGCTATGTCGCTCCTGGCCGTCACCGGAAGGAGCACATGGATGCCGCTAAGAGGGTGTTGCGCTACTTGTGCAGTACGTCGGGCATGGGGCTAGTGCTTGGAGGGCGAGACCGAGTTGTTCTCACTGGACACTCAGACGCTTCTTGGGCGGACGACCAGGCCACTCAGCGGTCGTCTCAGGGTTACACCTTCAGCCTTGGCTCCGGTTCAGTTTCTTGGCGTTCTACACGTTCTTCTTCAGTTCTCAGCTCCAGTTGTGAGGCTGAGATCTACGCCACAGCCATGGCGGCCCAGGAGCTACGCTGGCTCACCTACCTGCTGACCGACTTGGGAGAGCGGCCTCGTTCTCCTCCAGTGTTGTACGTCGACAACAAGGCTGCCATTGCCTTGTGTGAGGAGCACAGACTGGAGCACAGAACGAAGCACATCGCTCTGCGGTACTTTCTGGCTCGTGAGCTGCAGCAGCGTGGTCAGCTTTGTCTGCTGACGTGTTCACCAAGGCGCTTCAGCCTTGTGACCATCAGCGCTTCTGTACTCTTCTAGGCCTTGTACCTACTGGACCTCACTTGCTTACTTCTTGACTCTGCTTGTACTGTGATCTCTATATATATACCTGCATGCTTTCACTTGCTAGGTTGTGATCACTGTACCTCTTGCTCTATTATAAAACTGCATGTGAACTGGTCTTGTGACCACTTGCTTGTGCTCGGAATTTGTGTGGTATCCCTTGAGATCCACCCTGAGCTTTGCTTTGCTTTGCTCTGACTGGTCTTGTGACCCCTTGTTCTCCCTCACTTTGCCTATGGGGGTGTGTCAAACATTATATATGTTGTGGTTGTTTAGGCTACAGTGGGTTAGCCTTTAGGGGGTACACATTTCTAGGGTTAGGTACTTGTACTCATTTCACTGCTAGTTCAATCATTCCTGTTCGTTCATTCTGACAGGTGAAGCAGTTCTTAGGCCTCAACATCTCCTACGCGCCAGAAGCTATCCACCTCTCAGCGGCTAAGTATGCAGAGGAGTTAGGGAAGCGGTTCAACATATTACCCACACCACTCTCCACTCCTTATCGAACTCCCGGACCGAATCACAAACCTGATAACAAAGCCCTACCTCCCGCTGGGATTCATACTTATCAGCAGCAGCTGGGATGCCTGCTCTTCGCCTCTGTCACATGCAGGCCCGACCTTTCCTAGATTGCAAGTCAGCTGGCTCAATATTCCCGCAAACCAACGGCTGAGAATCTTCTGGACCTGCAGCAAGCCCTACAGTTCTTCATTTCAACGCCCAAGATTGGACTGTGCTACTCAACAGTACCAACTCCGTCATTTAACCTCATCGGCTACGTGGACGCCGATCATGCAGCAGACCCCGACAATCGACGGTCCAGGACTGGCTTCCTGTTTTGACTCGAACCGACGGGACCAAATCTCGTGGAACTCACAGAAACAGGAGCTGGTTGCCCTGTCATCGGGTGAAGCGGAATTCATCGCAGCAACGGCAGCAGTTCGCGAAGGCCTCTACTTGCAGGAACTTCTGCAGGAGGCGAAAATTCCAGGTTCGCCCACCTTCCGCCTTCACTGCGACAACCAGAGCGCGATCCGCATCGCGAACAAACCTGGTTTCGTCAATCGTACCAAGCACATTGCGCTGCGGTACTTCTTCGTCAAGGACGAAGTGGACAAAGGCAAGGTTGACTTGACCTATTGCCCGATTGGTGACATGGCAGCGGATTTTCTCACAAAGCGACTGCCACGCCAGCAGTATCAGCACTGCTCCGAACTCAGCGGAGTAGTCAAGCAGGTCAAGTCGAGCTACGACCAGGAGTGAAGGGGGGTGTTACGAATAGTGAAATGTTATTGTGCATTCCTAACCGCAGTAAAGGGAAGCACGCAGTATCGAGAATGAATGCGAGGAGTCAGAATTGGCTCGAAGCGACACAGACGGTTGGAATGAATTTGGACCGTCGGAGGCAAACGGCATCAAGCAGCTGCAGGGACGAGGGAATTGGCGGGAACAGTTTCGTAACTGTACGCGCCGCACGGTTGGTTTGAATTCGAATAAGGGAATGTACCCCTTAGAGTACATGACTAGCTAGGTCGTTTCGAATTCTCATGTACTACTGCTTATACCTTTGTATTTGCATGTTTCAATCATCTCAAGCATTTTACATTCACTCAGCTATTGAGGTCAAGGGCCCACCACTACCAACCACTCAAACGAACCTTCCCGAGGTGATCCTAGGGTCGATCCCCTTCTGATCGCAACACCCCCCTACCTTTACCTTTACCTTTACCCTTTCTCATGTCCACTAGCATCGTTTTCCCCACCGATCCGCTCATCTCTAATCCCACGGAGACCTGTTTTATGAGTCAGGGTTGGCGGGAAGTTTCTAGAAAGGCATCCCCGATCCGCTTCTGGTACACCACTCCGGCACACTGCAGTAGCAGGGTGAACTTGGGACAACTCGGATCCGGCAGGGTCTCCAGAAACACATTATTGAGAACCAGAACCTGATTTATCGCGAGGCTTCGTTTGTGGCTGTGCCGATAACATTTAGAACTTGATGCTGTGTAACTCACCTCTGACCATATTCCCGAACACTGGTGACCTCTTCAGCACTGACCATATTACACCTGTTCTCCGGTATTTCCACACCCCCTACCCTCGTTTTTGCCAGACACCCTATACGGCTTGAGGATCGATGAGACGGACACCCTGACACTACGGGTCTATCAGTAAAGAGCCGTCAGGTTCTGGCCATTCGAAACTCTAATTTGTAATCAGGGTGAGCGGGGAAAATTCCCAGTGCCATAATGTTAGAGTGTTAAACTCGCATTGAGGTCGTGTCTTATTACCTTCGAAACTCCCGCGTTCGTTTCCCCAGGGCGTGAAGATAGGGGGTGTGGAAATACCGGAGAACAGGTGTAAAAAAATAGGTGCCTGGACTCGACATGCAGCAAACGATGATGCAAGAAACATTATTTGTGTGTGTTGCTTTCTCTGGTTTCCAGGGTTAGGACTCAAACGCGGCGTGTCTGTATTTGCGTTGTGTTTGAGGTTCGGACATGGCCCGTTAGACTGTACAAGTAGTGCAGAAGAGGTCCAAGGCATTGGCAGGACAGCAGTAAGCTCAGCTGGGATTAGCCCGCCATTCAGTGAACGGCATGTCGACGGAGACCGCGGAGCTGCTGTCGCCACCACCGGAGTCTGACGCCCCACCGGCCATGAAGCGCCCGCGAGGCCGCCCGCGCAAACACCCGCCCAAGGAACCCACGCTTCCAAAGCGCGGGCGCGGACGGCCGCGCAAGGACTCGCGAGTGCAGGAGGTGCGGGTCGCGCGGGCGCCTGAGGACTCGAGCATGCCGAAGCGGGGCCCGGGTCGGCCGCCGAAGGACCCGACGCTGCCGAAGAGACGGCCGGGACGGCCACCTAACGACTCAGCTTCACCAAAGCGAAAGCCGGGACGGCCGCCTAAAGACCTCAGTCTGCCGAGGCGAAACCCTGGTCGGCCGTTGGGCAGCAAGGCGGGTCAGAATGAGTTGGCTGCCGCACCTAGCTGTGTGTGTCCCCCGCCCAACCCCGGCCTTGCTGCTTGCTCGCCGTGCTGCTCGCCGTGCTGCTCGCCGTGCTGCTCGCTGTGCTGCGCGCCAACCTCTCTGCTCTGGCTGCGGCCTTGCTGGGGCGGCTGTTCCCCAGTGCAGCACCTTCATGCGTGCTCCCGCTCCCTGCTCCCTGTGCTCTCCTGCTTGCCCCGTGTGCAGCACTCGAGCCGAGAGTCCTCCTGGTTCCACCTGGCGAGGTATGAGAGGTGTGGGCATCGAGGCTTGGTTGGACTTTCCCGAATGGGCTGTTGAGAATGCCTTGTTAGATCTCTCTTTGCCGCTGTAAGTCACTGCCTCTCCGTTCATGCTCACCCGTTTTTTACTCGGGAATGGGAAGGGCAGCTAGCCTATTTGTACCAGCGGAACAGGGCAGTAGCAGATGGCATCGTAGAAAGGGGGGAGGATAGCACAGTGGAAAGCGAGTGGGAGGGGAGGGGCGTAGAGACGTGTGCCTCTATCACTCGTCCTCCCCTGGGTGTGTCCTCCCCTGGGTGTGTCCTCCCCTGGGTGTGTCCTCCCTTGGGTGTGTCCTCCCCGCGTGTGTCCTCCCCTGCGTGTGTCCTCCCATGGGCGGAGCACAGGACGTAGCGGCGCGGATATTCATGCTGTCCCGTGAGGAGGGCAAGGCGGTGTGTGTGCTGTCCACCAATGGCTCCGTGCTCCCGCCTACCCTCTCTGATGGCGTCACCGCCCTGCCTGCCACACCACATGGGGTAGGTCATAGCGCACACCACATGGGATGGATGATAGGGACTAGCATGCATGGCGTGGGTGGTTAAGATCACTTTAGTGTGAGTCTGGGGGTTGAGAGAGGGAACTTGAGGCAGGAAGCAATGGGTGTTGAGTGTGGCTGCTGTGCGTGCGTGCATGTGCGTGCTTGTGTGTGCATGTGCGTGCATGTGCGTGCATGTGCGTGCATGTGTGTGCATGTGTGTGCATGTGCATGTGCATGTGCATGTGCGTGTGCATGTGCATGTGCATGTGCATGTGCGTGTGCATGTGCATGTGCATGTGCATGTGCATGCGTGTGCATGTGTGTGCATGTGTGTGCATGTGTGTGCATGTGTGTGCATGTGTGTGCATGTGCATGTGCATGTGCATGTGCGTGTGCATGTGCATGTGCGTGTGCATGTGCATGTGCGTGTGCATGTGCATGTGCGTGTGCATGTGCATGTGCGTGTGCATGTGCATGTGCGCGCATGTGCGCGCATGTGCGCGCATGTGCGCGCATGTGCGCGCATGTGCGCGCATGTGCGCGCATGTGCGCGCATGTGCGCGCATGTGCGTGCATGTGCGCGCATGTGCGTGCATGTGCGTGCATGTGCGTGCGTGAATGCATGCATGCAGGGAGCGCTGGACGTGGTGTCGCTGTCGGGCTCATACGTGCCGAACGGACCCGCCGATGCCTCCAGCCGCGTGGGAGGGCTCACTGCCACTCTTGTGGGCGCCGACGGCCGTGTGCTGGGGGGCAGTGTGGCGTCCCCTCTGCTCGCCTTTTCCACCGTGCAGGTCAGCTGCTCGCTCTCTCCTCACTGCACGGTGGGTGGGTGTGTGTCAGTCCTTGCAGCTTGCACAGTGCGCTCAGGTCAGGTCCTGGCTGCATGTGCCACACACACAGGCTGATGCATGGCGAATCAAAAGGCCAGGGCTTGCTACACCCAACCACTTCTGGCTTGAACCCCTTTAGCCCCAACGCCGCATTCGTCTGTGTGCCGCACCTCTCCCTCATACTGCCTGCACCACCCTTCCTACATGCACATTGCCCTTCATGCTCCATGCTCGCTGCAGGTGACCGTGCTACTCTTTTCAGTTGAGCCCATGGGCACCTGACCTGACACCAGCCGTCTCCATCTCCAACACCACGAGAATGCCTCCCTCTAATCGGGTTTACAATTTAGCTCTGCAAGTGTTAGCATGTTCCATTCCAACTTCCTAGATGTGTCTCACTAGTTGCGGAGCAATGTAGCACACCTGCTCAGTGTACCATAGTTCAAATGAGGCATATGAATGGCAGTGGCGGTGGCTGTTTTTTCCTGCCAGTGGCAGGCGCATTTCAATTATGCCTGATAAACCAGGGAACCTCACTAAACTACTCTTGACTACATGGGATGCACAGGGTGCATGAGTGCTAATGGCAGCCCGGGGGGGCATCTACAGACTGACTGACTACAAGCTTGGTTGTCCTCTTGTGCCGTGTGGCGAGCTTGAGCCCCCCACTGGCTCCACCCAGGGCCGGTATTTGTGGCTCAGGCTCTTGATGCTCGTCCATGCTGCACCCATGGTGGCACAGCAGGGTCGGTATGCATTTGCATGGCAGTATAGCGCCTTATAGACACATGCATGCTTGGAGGCAGCTCGTGGTAGGGTTGGGGCCAGCGAGCAGGCAGTGGTGGCAGGGCGGGGAGACTGGCAGGGCGGGGAGACTGGCACAAGATTGATCGCATCTGCTGCTGGAGGCCACCCCAAGTTTATCAAGTGTAAGTAGCATCAGCGGCAGGTGGGTGGGTGGGAGGCAGGATGAGCGGGGTTTGCATGGAAGGTGGAGTGCGGGCATGGGCATGGGCAGGGGCATGGGCAGGGGCATGGTGGTGGGCATCAGCGGTTGGACCAGATAAAGTCAACATCGATGGTGCGCTGGGTGCCGTCTCGGTTGCCCTCTGGCTGCAGCACGTACGTCCCTGACACCATCCCCAGCGCAACCACCCGGTCTATCTGTATCGTCGCCTTGCCCAACGAGCTCTGTCATCCCACACACACACACACAGAGCACGCCAACACACAACGCAAGAACTCAAGGGAATGAGGAACCAGACATGATGGAACGGGACACAAGTGCAGCAGCACACACTGAGAGGCACATGAGGGGTGCAGCAGGCATGGACTCACGGTGCCGATGGTGCCCTTGTTCTTGCACGAGATGTGGAGGTTCTGGCCTCGTGGAGGGGCGTCCAGCGGCCATGTGAAGGTCTGCTTCCACTCGGGGTCACACGTGCCGCTCACCACCTGCCATGCCATGCCATGCCATGCCATGCCATGCCATGCGCACAAACAGCACACAACATTCCATGAAACGCACCAGGAGGCACACCATTGATAACCACACACGACATTACATGGCACACACGACATTACATGGCACACACGACATTACATGGCACACACGACATTACATGGCACACACGACATTACATGGCACACACGACACAAGCCAACAAGCAGAGACGGGGAATTCAATTGCTGATTACAGTGCACCTATTCTAGACGTTGTAATTTCCCCACCACCAGCCATTTCTCAATCCCTGTGCCACCCATCACCCCACTCATGTCATCACCATCCCCATCCCCCCATGAGCCCCGCGCGCTGCCGCTGAGCCTGCCCCTGCATGAGTGCAGTGGGCGTGACTGACCTTGGTGACCTTGGCGGGGGTGTCAGCAAGGGTGAGCTTGCAGTAGGCGTTGGTGGCGCCCATGGACGCCTTGAGGTTGCTGCCGCGCTTCACACACACCGACAGGCTGCCCGGCAGCACCGACAGCAGCGTCTCCGCCTTCTCGTACAGGTTGATGGGGCCCGACCGCAGCATGAGCTGCAGCACGGGGATGGTGTCGCCCATGGCGATGGACTGCAGGCGCGCCATCTCCTTGCTCTGCGCCCACCCCTGCCGCAGCAGCCACAGCACGTTCAGCGCCGTCTCCTGCGCCACCTCGCTGCCCACCTTCATGGCGCCCACCAGCACGGGGATGGCGGCCGTCGCGCACTCGCTGAAGCGCAGGCGGGAGAACGTGGCGAGGAGCCCCTCGATGGCCTGCAGCACCTCCTCGTTCACACTCGCCGTCTTCCACAGCTCGCGCTCGATCACACCCGTCATGGACGACACTAGCTCGGGAGTGGCGTACTCCTGCACCGTGTGGTTGTTGAGCATCAGCCGCACCAGGTTGGCGGCCTGCGACGTCACCTCCGCCGACCCGCCTGTCAGCAGCTCCACCAGCACACCGAACCCGCCCGCGTCCGCCACGGCGCGCTTGTTGGCGCGCGACGACGCCACCAGGTTCTGCAGCCCGCACAGCGCCACCATCACCAGGTCCTCGCTCGCTCGCTCCGCCATCAGCGCCACCAGCGCGCGGCACGCGCCCGTCAGGTCCACCGTCTTGAGCGCCACGCTCGTCTCCTGGAACAGGTCGCCCAGCGCGAGGGCGGCCAGCAGCTTAGCGTTGGGGTCGGTGGAGTTGGGATCCAGCAGGTACGACGCCAGGGGGGCGATGGAGCGCAGCGCCGTCTGCGAGTCCCTCACGCGTGCGTTGTTGAAGATGGCCTCCAGCAGGCGCGCCGCGGCCTCCTCCACCTGGTGGCAGCGCAGCAGCTCCAGCAGCGCGTCCACCACGCCCATGCGCGCCATCTCGTCCCCCCGCGCCGGGTCCTCTCGCTCCAGCGCCAGCAGCGCGGACAGCGCCACGACCTGCACGGGCTCGGTGTTGGCCATGAGCAGGCGCACCAGCACGGGCACCGGCACCTGCGCCGCGCACTTGTCATGCTCGCGCAGCACGTTCGCCAGCACCGTCGCCGCCATCTGCCACATGGGGTGCGGCGCCGTCGCCACCAGGCGCGACAGCTCGTCGATGCCGCCCGCCTCCACGATGGCGCCCGGCCAGCACGCCGACACCAGCTCCAGCGCCTTGAGGGCCTCCGTGCGCAGCGACTCCAGCTCGCTGCCCAGCAGCCTCACCAGGGGGGCCGCCGCCGCTGCGGTGATGCCGTCGCTGTGGAAGGCCTCCAGAGTGAGCATGTGAGCCAGCAGCCCGGCCGCCAGCTGCGCCACGACGAGCGAGGGCGAGAGCAGCAGCGGCACGAGCGGCTCCATGGCGTCGCTGGGCGGCACGTCCAGCGCCTCCAGCCGCCCGGGCTTCTCCAGCACGTTTACCAGCGCCTGCAGCGCGCTCGTCTGCGCCGCGGGGGACAGCTCTGCGTGGCGCAGCATGGCGAACACGGGCCCCACGAGGCGCGCGGCAGCGGCGCCCTTGGCGATGGTGGAGTTGTTGGTGAGCACGCGCAGCAGCTCCGCCAGCAGCGCGCAGAGCGCAAGGGGGGCGGAGGGGAAGATGGCGATGATGCGCTCGATGACCCCGGCCGCCGCCATGTCCAGCTTGCACTGCCGCCGGTCCTTGGCCAGCTTGAACAAAGCACTGCTCGCCGCCGCGTGCAGCCCGTGCCGCTCGCCCTCCAGCAGGCTCACCAGCGGGGCCACGGCGCTGCAGCTCGCCACCACATTGGCCTGCTGCTCGTCGTCCATCACGGCGTCCACCGCGCCCGCCGCACGGTACTGCAGCGACGGCGACGGGTGCAGCAGCAGCACCACCAGCGGTGGGATCAGCGCCGCGGCCACGGGGCCGGAGCGAGCGCGCGGGAAGGAGAAGAGCGTCTGCAGCAGCTCCACCGCCGTCGCCTTCACCTCCGCCGCCGCCTTGTCGTACCCTCCGCTGCCGCCGCCAGCTGGCGACTTGTCTGGCGCCTCGAGCAGGCGCTGAATGGTGGCCATGAGAGGGATGCCGCCCTCCTCGCACGCCTGCAGCACCCGCCCCACGTTGCCCTGCGCCAGCTGGCACAGCGCCGCCGCTGCTGCCCGCTGCTCCGCCTCCACAGCGCCGCCGCCAGCAGCCTCCGCGCCCGCCCCGCTGCCCAGCATGTCGACGAGCGGTTGCAGCGCCTGCAGCGCCGCGTCGCTCGCGCGGTGAGCGTCCACGGCGAATAGCGCCTCCAGCGCCGCTGCTGCTGGCAGGCGCGCAGCGCGGGAGCCCACCCGCAGCACGGCGACGAGCTGGTCCATGGCGGCGGGCGCGGCGGCGTGCACGCGCAGGTCGTCCGCCTGGAAGAGCACCCGCAGCAGCTCCACCGCCGCCGCCTCCATCGCCTCCTGCACGGGGAAGGGGGTAGAAGTACGGGCGCGTGGGGTTGGACGGGCATTGGGGGATGAGCGATGGGGGGGTGCGCATGCAGCAGCAGGGGTGGGGGTTGAATGCGCAGAGTGATCAACTGCTAGTGGGGCAAGACAGTGAGTGAGCACGTGCTCCAGAGGTAAAGCAGCAGGGGGGGAGTGATGCAAGGGCGGGCGCGCGGCGCACCTGAGGGCCGAGAGTGAGGTACGTGGTGAGCGCCTCGAGGATGCGGTAGTCCGCCATGGCCACGCGGTTCGCGCTGCTGCCGGCCGCCAGCTGCGTGAGCAGGCCAATGGCGACGGCGGGCGCGCTGGGCTGGTCGGCGTTGGGCGTGAGCAGCGCGATCAGCTGCGGCACCACCACGCTGCCGTGGCGGCCCGCGCGGATGTCGTCGCAGCGGAAGAGTTTCTCCAGCGCCACCTGCTCCGGACTGCCCGCCAGCTCGAAGTCGTCCGCCAGCGCGCGCAGGTGCGCCACGTCCGCCTCCGCGCGGCCCAGCAGCGCGAGCAGCAGCGGGATGGCGCCGCTGTTGGCGATGGCGAGCAGCGTGCCGCGACTGCCGCTCGCCACGAGCGACGCGACGGCCTGCGAGGCGAAGTAGCGCTGCGAGGGGTCGGGCGAGGTGAGCAGCGAGGCGAGCGGCGGAATGGCCCTGAGCGCGACGGGCGAGCGCACGACGTCGCGGTTGCAGAACAGCACCGCCAGCAGCAGCGCGCACACCCACGCCCCCCCGCTGTTCCCCCCCTCCGCGCCGTCCCCATCCATTCCCAGGTCGTCCGCCTCCTCCCCCTCCCCCGACAGCGCGGAGAGCCGGTCCACCAGCACGTCGACGGCGCCGGCGGCGGCGACGAGCGCGCGCGTGGGGTGGTCGTGCGACGCCATGACGGCGAGCAGCCACAACGCCACGCTGCTCACCAGCGCCTCCGCTGATGCCTCCCCGTCGCCCTCCTCCGCCTGCTGCTGCTGCCGGTCGCGCGACTGCTGCTGCGCCGCCAGCATGTCCACGAGGCACCGCACCACCGCCTGCAGCGTGCCCGCCGCCTCCATCGCCGCCATCGTCGCCGCGCGGTGCTCCTTCGCCGCGCAAATCAACAGCGCCGTGCCGCCCACCTTCACCTCGAGGCTCTCCGCTTCCGTGATGCGCGCGGTGAGCGCGGCGACGCAGTTGTCGGTGCCGGCGATCATGTCGCCCAGCGTGACGGGCTGGTCCTTGCACAGCCGCGACAGCACCTCCACCGCCTTCTCCTGCATGCCCGCCGTGCCGCCCGCCAGCACCGCCACCAGCGGCCCCATCGAGTACGGCACCTCCGACAGCACCGCCAGCGGCGCCTGCCCGCCCCAGTTGTGCGCCTTGGCGCGCGCCAGCGCCGCCAGCGCCTCGAGCGCCGCCATGGACGCGTCCTCGCTGGCGCCGACGGCGAGCAGCGCGACGAGCGCGAGCACCGTGCTGCACTGGCGGATGCTCTCCGCCAACTCCTCGTCCAGCGCGCGCGAGTGCAGCAGGTGCGCCAGCGCGCCCGCCGCGTGCTCCTTGCCGTGCGGCGTGCCCTCGCGCAGCAGGCGCGAGAGCGGCAGCACGACCTCGTCCGCGGGCGCCATGAGCGCCAGCTCGGGGTTCGCCAGCAGGTTCGCCAGCGCCGTCGTCGCCACCTCCGCCACCGCCATCTCGCGCGCGCGCGCCAGCTTCACCAGCGGGAAGATGCTCGCCCTCGCCGCCTGCGCCGCCTCCTCGTTGCTGTCGATGGAGCAGAACAGCGCCGCCAACGCGCGCGCCGCCTGCATGGCCACGGGCTCGCCGCCGTCCTCCACGAGGCGCACCAGCGGGGGAATCGCCTCCGCCGCCACTGGCCCCTCGCGCAGATCCTCCCGCGCCGCAAACAGATTCGCCAGCACCGCCGCCGCGCTCTCCTGCGTCTCCTCGCGCTCCGACTCGACGAGCGCGACGAGCGTCTGAAGCGCCTCGTTGGCGGCGGTGCCGTCGTGGGCGGCGTCGGGCGAGTCGGCGAGCAGCTGGCCCAGCACGCGCAGCACGTGCACCTTCGACTCCGGCACCTCCGCCACCAGAATGCCCGTCAGCTGCCCAATCGCGCTGCTCGCGCCGCTGCTGCCGCCCGACACCAGCCGCATGAGGGCGCGCGCTGCCGCCGCCTGGGCCCTCTCCGTCCCGCTGCCCAGCAGATGCAGCAACGCGGGGGCCGCGTCCGCCGTCTCCACGCACGCGCGGATATCCTCGTTGTAGGAACACAGGTTGCCCAGCAGCTCCGCGGCGTCCTCCTTGGCCTTGGCGGTGCCCGTCCCCAGCAGCGAGACGAGCGGCGGAATGCCCCCCGCGGCGGTGATGGCCCACTTGCTGTCGTCCTCCTCGTGCGAGAGTATGGCGAGCAGCGCGCACGCGCACTCCTGCTGGTCCTCCGTCGACAGCCCCAGCAGCCCCACCAGCTGCAGCACGCCCTCGCGCCCACCCAGTGCGCTCCACAGCGGCGCGCCCTGCACGCACACGTTGAACAGCGCCTCCACCAGCTCCGCCTGCGCGTCGCCGGGCGACAGCGTCACCAGCCCCACCAGCATGCGCTTGCCCTCCGCGTTGCTCAGCCCGCGCGCCACCACGCTGTTGCCGTACAGACTCGCCAGCGCCTCGATCGACCGCTCCTGCACCAGCGCCGACGCCGGCCGCAGCGGGCTCAGCTTCTCCACCAGCGCGCGCTCGATGCCCTCCGCGTCCACCTTGCTTCCGCTCCCGCCCGCCCCCCCCTCGCCGTCCTCCGCCCCTCCGCCGTCGTCGTCGTCGTCGTCCAGCACCATCAGCGCGTACGCCAGCGCGCCGATGTTGTCCGCCAGCTCGCGGTCCGAGTGCGCGCTGCTCACGGCCGCCGCCAGTGACGCGACGACCTCCGCCTTGCCGCCCGCGATGTTGGCGAGCGCGCCCATGGCGTTCTCCTGCAGCACCTGCGCGTACCCCGTCTGCATCATCTCCGCCGACGGCGCCATCGTCGCGCGGATCAGCATGCCCACTCCCCCCGCCGCCGCGATCTTCTCCCGTGCCGCCACGTGTACCGCTGAGATTGCGCGCAGCGCCCCAGCCGCCTCGGTCCTGACCGCCACCTCTCTACCCGGCTGCAGCAGCGCGAGGAGCGGCGGAATGGCGCCAGCCTCCACCACTCTCGCCCGCCTTCGCCGCCTCCTCCAGCCCTTCTCCGCCCTCCATGGCTGCCGCCGCCGCTGCCGCCGCTGCTGCCGCCACTGTTGCCGCTGGAGTCTTGCCCTTGGTTTGCTGCTGCGCGGCGGCGGCGGCCGCATTGGGGTGCGCGAGGTAGGGGCTGGTGAGGAAGCTGGTGAGCAGCGCGGCGGCGTTCTCCTGCGTGGCGGGGCGCCCCATGGAGAGCATGCTCGTGAAGATCTCCACGCCGCCCGCCGCCTCCACCGTGCGCCAGAAGCCCGGCACGGCGTAGCAGAGGTTGCGCATGGCGCCCGTGACGAGCGCCAGCACGTCCGGGTGGATGCCCGCGTGCTTCTGCAGCTGCTGCAGCAGCGCCGGCACCACGCCCTCCGACGCGAAGATGCGCGACCCCACGGCGTCGCGCCCCGAGCCCGCCTTGGACATGGCGAAGAGCGCCTCGGCCGCCACCATCTGCGAGTCCTTGGGGCCGTTGCGCAGCAGCGCCAGCATGGGCGGAATGCACCCGCCCAGCAGCACCTTCACGCGCAACTCCTGCTCGTCGCAGATCGCCCCCAGAGTCGCCGCCGCATGCGTGCGCGCAGGCAGCGTGCCCGAGCGCACGAGCCCCACGAGCAGCGGAATGGCCTGCGCGTGGTAGCCGATGGCCGCGCGCGCGTCTACGCTGGTCTCCGCCAGCTGGCTGAGCTGCATGGCGACGCGCTCCTTCTCGTCCGCATCGCTGCCCGCCGTGCGCAGCATCTCTATCGACTCCGCCACCGCCGCCAGCACCATCGCCGATTGCTGATCCCGCCCTTCGGCCCCCGTGCCCGACCTACTTCCCACTATGCTTTCCGCTTCCCTAAATCCCATGTCTGCTAGTTGGCCGCGAAGAGCGGCGGAAGAACCACGTGCTGCTTCCATGTCTGAAGCGAGGGTCAATGGCACGGCGAGAGTGGAAGCGCTAAACGCCTTGCCATGCAAGCAGGGTCAGTCGCAGTGGTGAGATGGACGAATGTTCCCCTGGCAAGAGAGAGAAGCAGGACGTTAGATTGTTAGTGAACGGACAAAACGAGGGCGACGCGGGAAAAACATGGAGGGAGGAGGAGAGGATGAGGGAGAAACAACCACTCGAGCGACCTGATGTTGGCTCTTTCAGAGAAGGCAACAAGGCGGCCAGGCGAGGAGGCTAGGCTTCAGAGGATCATGAACAGGGGAATAGCAAATTCGACGATCGCACTCGTGCTCATTTTCCGAAGTGAAAAGGAGGAAGGAAAACGGTAAATTTCCAGTGGTGCAAAGAAAGGTGAGGCTGGACAGAGATATAGAGACGTAGCGGAGGGGTATATAGGTGGCTGAAAGGAGAGTGTTAGTCTTGTGCTGAACCTGCTGCGACGGTATGGCTAATACCCGAGCTGCCTATCTTCCATGCCTGACATTCGTCGCAGCCGCCATCGCTACTAGTAAGTTGACGCCTGCCTATTGCCGTGCCCTTTCTGTTATCGATTCGTTCACATTTTTGGCCCTCACGTTCTCTGGTCCTGCTTGCCCCCTCCTCCAGATCTCCTTACCTTGAATCTGCCGATGCGAATCAGCTGCTCACGTGCTTGACGAATGGTCCTACGACCACGAACTTCTGCTGTCAATATTGAGATCCGAGCTAGCATAGGAGGAATTCTCTCGGATAATTTCGGCTACTAATCACTGTTCCCAGGTAGACGACTAACGCGCCCCACAACTTGAATACTGTAATAAAGCGCTAACTTCCTAGCCTTCCACGAAAGCTTACTTCCAAGCACTTGCACGCGAGCTTGGGGTGTAGAAGACCATTGATACTCGTCCCCCTTCTCTGTTTCACTTCAGCTGAGCCCTACCCAAGTGAGGAAGCAATTTTGTGTGTTGGTGTGCCCCTGGCGGAAAGGCAAGGTTGGCGGGAGTGTCAACGCATGCCATGCCATGTGCCATTCCGAACCACCCGAGCCGAACCAAGCCGCAGTCCCCCGCCGTGCTCGGAGCTCGCACAGCGCATCCAGCCAAACCTCGCAGAGACAGGTTGGGACGGTTCGGCATGGTTTGGAACATGTCAAATGTTCCTCGCGAACGAAACCACCACGCGAAGTGACTGGCGCTGGCCAAAGCTCAACGGCACCGGCCACCAGCCGATGATTTTGACGCGCCGCCTCGCTTCATCCGTGTCGGGTACCACTGACGCATCGCGAATCGAACCGCTGACTGACACGAATAAACATTTCGCAGCAACGGTCACGGAAGGACGGATGTGCGTCCGCCAGATCCAGCCCCATCGACGGCAAAACCGCAGTCGCCGCCAGCAACGCCGTCAAGCAGACCCCAAGTCGCAGTTATAACCTGCCCGTCCGTCAAACTTGGCAACGTGTCACAAATCTCCCAAAGAAACAGCGTATGAATTAGTGTAGCATCGTTATTCTAAAGCAGAATCTTCTTGAATCTTCTTCTTCTATACAATATTACGACGTCAGTAGACGATAGAATGTATTGTTTGTCAGTTCTAGACTTTACCTAAACAATCAACGATGTGAAGGATGCTGCAGTTGAGCCCGTGTTGGTTCCGGTAGTTGATTATCTTGAAAAGCTGGTATTGATTGTTGCAGAGATTCACCTTGCCTATGTTGCATTGCATCACCCTGCAACCGCGTACAGCACTGTTCATCTGTGTCATAATACTTAGGCTAGGATGTTGTGATTAGGTCAAGGGGGGAGTACAAGAGTGTCGAGAGAAATTTGTGTACCCCCTAATACTAACCCCCATATAGCCTAACATAACTAAACATGCATATAAATGACAACCCACTTCAGGCTATATTATTTAACACACCCCCATAGCCTAAGTGGGGAATGCCAAGCAACAAAAAACACAACCTAAGGTCACAAGACCAGTCACAAGCAAGAGAGAAAACACAGCTCAGGGTGGATCACAACGTCACCACACAGTCTGAGCACAAACAAGGGGCCACAAGGCCAGTTCAAGAGTGTACAAGCTAATATATATATGGTACAAACAAACAAGAGGCAAGAAATCACTACTGCAGTCTACTAGACCCAGTCTCAACGAGACCTAACTGCAGACAAAACCGACGGTGGTCACAAGGCTGAAGAGCCTTGGTGAAGATGTCTGCAGTGTTGGCCTCGGAGGCCACGAAGTCCAGACGTGCCTGACCGCGTCTCTGCAACTCTCGAAGGAGGAAGTACCTGACGTTGATGTGCTTCACTCTGCTCTCCAGTCGAGGCTCACGACACAGGAGAATCATCGCCTTGTTGTCAGCAAACAAGGTCGGTGCAGAGCTCGGCCGCTCACCAAGGTCAGTGAGCAAGAAGGTCAACCAGCGTAGCTCCTGTGCAGCGAGGGCTCCAGCGTAGATCTCGGCCTCTGCGGTAGAAGTCGCAACAGAGGAGGACCGAGTAGACCTCCACGAAACAGCTCCAGAGCCTAGGCTGAAACAGTAACCCTGCGTAGACCTCTGAGTCTCAACGTCGTCGGCGTACGAGGAGTCGCAGTGACCGGTGAGTACAACTGGCTGTGTCCCTCCAAGTACAAGCCCCATGTCTGATGTCGCGCCGAGGTACTTCGCCACCCTCTTAGCCGCCGTCCAGTGAACAGGACGGTGTCTCCCAGTCGCAACAAAGCAAGAAAGGATGCTAAGAGGGAAGGCGAGGTCCGGGCGAGTGCAGGTCATCAGGTACATGAGGCAGCCCACCAGCTCTGCGTAGGGACCACTGGGCTCGAACGGCTCGTCAGGAAAAGGCCCAGTGAGTCTGTGGTCTACAGCAAGAGGGGTGGGTGTAGGAGAAGAGTGCTGAAGCCCGAACCACTGAAGGACCTGCTGCACCATGTGTGACTGAGTCAGAGTGATGGTGCGAGCGGCTCTGTCCCTGGAGATCTGCAGGCCAAGGTAGCGGCGCAGTTCCCCAAGGTCAGTGCAGGTGTGTCTCTTCTGCAGTTCGGACTTCACCTCCGCCAGTGCAGCTGTGTCGGCTGTGGCAAAAACCAAGTCGTCAACGTAGACCAGAACGAAGAAAGGTGTGCGCCCACGACGAACAAACAGCGACGGGTCGGCGGAAGACGGCTCAAACCCGAGGTCGGAGAGAGTAGAGCGGAGAGTGTCGTGCCACTCACGGGGTGCCTGGCGGAGACCGTAGACCGGTCGTCTGAGGCTCCACTGGGTCCCAGGCGGGAAGGTGCCAGTGAAGCCCGGAGGACGACGCAGCCAGATCTCCTCGTGTAGGCTGCCCTGGAGGAAGGCAGTGGAGAAGTCAAGAGAGTGTAGCTCGTAGTCTCTCTGCGCTGCTACGTGCAGTAACACCCGAAGAGTGGTCATCTTCGGGGTGGGCGCGAAGGTCTGAAAGAAGTCAACCCCCTCGCGCTGACTGAACCCTCTAGCCACGTAGCGTGCCTTGAAGACTGGGGGAGATCCCGGCGGCCGCTTCACCTTGAAGATCCACATGCCATCAACGATGTTCGCCCCTGGGGGGGGAACCTCGTCAACGTAAGTGCCTGTGGACCTGTAGGAGGCCATCTCTGCGTCCATGGCAGCTCTCCACTGAGAGGCCCAAGGCCCTGACACTGCCTCAGCGTAAGTGCGAGGAGTAGGTATGTCAGGAGCGTCGGGGTCTCCCTCAGGGGCGAGGAGCATGGCACAGAGATGAGGCGAAGCAGCTGCCAGAAACTCTAGCTCAAACTGTCTGTCCTCTAGGACGTCACAGCCAAGGGCAGACTCACCCCCGGCGGACAGAGGACGGGCAGGAGGGGCGGCCACAACACGAGTGGCGTAGTCAAGGCGACGCGTAGCAGTAAAGTCAGTGACAGCGGCAGTGAGGACCGCGACGGAGGAAGGAGAGGCACGAGGGTCTGTAACAAGAGAGGCGAGAACACGAGAGAGTGTGGGGCGGTACGTGCGGTAGTAGTCAGTGACCGGAGTGGACAGGGAGGCAGTGAGGGACGACTCAGGCGGACGGGGAAGAACAGATTGAGGAGAACGAGGAGGACTAGGACGAAACAACACGGTACGGAGGTCAGTGACAGGTGACGAGGGACGAGCACGAGGAGAACGAGGAGCCCAAGTGTGGGCGAGAGGAGAGGGAGACGGAGGAGACTGAGAACGAGGGAACACAGCCGGAGCTGAGTCCGGAGGAGGAAACGTAGGACCAAACACAGGAGGAGAGGAGGGGAGACCAAGGGTCCGAAGGCCAGTAACAGGGGGCTCCGGCTGCTGCTGCTGCTGCGGCGGCTGCTGCTGCTGCTGCTGCTGCTGCTGCTGCTGCTGCTGCAACTCCAACCTCTCACGCTCCACCCGCTGCTGAACCTCCAACCTCTCACTCTCCACACGCTGCTGCTCCTCGCGCGCAAGACGAAGACGGGCCTGGTGTCGAGTCGGGTAGGGGTGAGGAGGAGGAGTGGTGTCAGGAGACGACGAAGAAGAACCGGCTCCACCCTCGACAGGACCCGGCTGAGCACCCCCAGAGCGAGTACCCCCTGCGGCAGCACGACCAGTACCTGTAGGAGGTGTACCCGCACCCCCAGTCGTGGTGCCTCCAGTGGCACCAGCACCAGCCCCAGACTCTCCAGCTCCAGAAACACCACCAGCTCCAGCACCACCACCAGCTCCAGTACCCTCGGAACGGGCAGCCGCGGCAGGTGCACGCTCAGCGCCAACGCCAACACCCCCAGAACGGGCGGCTCCTGTAGGTGCACGAACAGCTCCAACGCCAGCACCCCCAGAACAAGCACCTCCAGAGCCCTCACCTCGAGCACCAACACCCTCAGAGTCCGCAGTGGCCGGTAAAGGAAGCGCTGACGGCTGCTGCGGAGGCTGTGAGGACGACTGTGGGGAAGGAGG